AAAAGAAAGGGGCCCAGAGGGCTTCTCCCGTGTGCGAGGAACCGGAGGAGAATTGTGGTCACAGATTAATATCAGATAAAAAGCATTCAGTCTGCAACAAGGTGTCGAGCTGGTGGGGACCACTTGCAAGACATGGAAGGCATATATGTCAGATGAGCTCTGGTCTGACAATTGCTGAACAGATTTCATTCCACTTTTCTTTGAGATGCACAGGACTCAGAGGAGAAGACGTAGTGTGACACACAGTTCATGACGTGGAAAGATTGCATTTTTATTTTTTTTAATTTTATTTTGTGACCATTCTCGATTTATGTGTGTCATCATCCTTGAAAGCGCAGGGACCATACCATGCTAATCTTCTCTGCATCGTTCCAATTTTAACGGATGTCCCAAAGGAGGACAAGATTGCATTATTTTTATTTTCATCTAGTTTGTTGTAAGCATCAGTCATAGGGCCTCGCTGCACTACTCTTGAAATGTGCAAAACGAGAGTGAATCTTCCGCTAGAATATGGAAAGATACACGGCCGCCATGATTTGTGTCTTTTGTCCATTTCAGGAGTAGTGCAGCGAGGCCCATAGTGAGGCAAACACACGAGTGCTCGAATCGCACAAAAGTGCAGTATACACGAAGCATACGATACATGAGGGAGGCATGAGTAGAACCCAGTGAAGGTACAAAGGGCATTGAGGGTTATGCCACCATAAGCGTGACAAGAAAAGAGGAGGGCACTGTAGTACTGAAGTTATCCTGACAATTCGAGATTCTGAGTTTAATAAACAGTGTGATACTGTGTTTGGACCGTCATCGTTTCATCGTTTCCTGGATGTGAATCAGATCTGCTCGGCGTTTCTCTATGACAGGTTGTGAGGATTGAGTGGAGTGAATTGCACTTTCAGTGTACCCTGTCATATCGCATGGTCAAGTCTTCTGCTGTGTTTATCTCTCCCTGTGCGGTGTGATACTCCTATCCTCTCCCCTTCCTTCTGTGTATGCATGGGCATATCCGGAAGTCCATGTGAGTGAGTGTTGGGCTTCAGGAAACGAACAACCAGAATCATAACACACACATTATAAAAAAAAAAAAAAAAAAAAAAGGTTAAAGGTTTAAACTTGAACGATGCGAGTCGCCTTGCACCACCAGTACAACATGGCCCCAGCCAAGATGAGACTCGCAATTTTGAGCCTCTGCTAAAATTTCGGCGGGTGGGGACAGGGCCTCCAAAGGGCAGGAGGGGGGGGAGGAAATTCTCCTGTGCCTTGGGGTTGGGACCCAGTGTAGCACGGAGCAAAAACAAAATTCCCCCTGCCCCCAGGCGGGCCCTGTCCTGCTGAGTCCCCAGACTTTTCAAAGAGGCTCATTCGTGTTTCTCCAGATGTACTGGTGGCTTAAGCAATGGACTGGAGCCAAATAGGACCCAAATAGGACCCCCACATAGGACCCGCCAATAGGACCCCCAAATAGGACCCCCAAATAGGACCCAAATAGGACCCAAATAGGAGCAAAATAGGAGCAAAATAGAACACTGTGCTTGGTTCCCCTATGAAACGGGACAAGCATCACACAAAGTAGGGGATTGCAGAGCCCCTTGGGTCTTTTTTGCCATACGGGACAAGCATCACAAAGCACGGAAAGCAATACGAAACACGACCCCCTTCAATTCTGCCGGTTCTTTTTTGCTGGTTTCACTTAATAGAATATCAGTGGAAAAGACTTCAAAAGAGTGATTGGCAAGATTTACCTGCTTAGTCCTTCGGGACATCCGTTAAAATTAGAACGATACAGAGAAGGGTAAATTAGCAAATGGCCCCTAAATCGAGAAATGGTCCAAATTATTAAAAAAAAAAAAAGAAAGATTTACCTGCCTAATCTTCTGCAGCAACTGACTTTTTGCAAACGCCATCTCATCAGCAGCGAGCTGCTGACGCCGCAGCTGATCTCTTAAAGAGGCATTTTCCAACTCCAGCTGCTCAATCTATACATCACGGTCCAGCCAGTACAGCTATCAGTCAATATACTGCATCCACCATCTCTCTTTCTCCTCCTCCCCCCCCACCTCCCTCCCTCCCTCCCTCCCTCCCTCCCTCCCTCCCTCCCTCTCTTACACACACACCCACAAGGGAAAAGCACTGCCAAATGAGAAAGGGCAAGAGGATTGATACGGCGTTGAAATGTCTTCGTGGTACGCTCATGCTATTGTAGGGCAAAACAAGAAACACCAGGGAAAGCAGTGCATGACTGGGAGGTTGGACAAAGACATTGGCAATGTTCTACAGACGCTGCTAAAATGTGACCATATACGGTGAGATACGCCCCTTGAACCTCTCAGCTGTCAGCATGTCACCCATTAAAAAAAACTGACCAACTGCCTTTTCGAGAAATAGAGCTACTTCACATTTCCATGGAACTGGTGTCATAAGGCAGGGGTAGTAGGCCTACGAGAAGGGCGGGGTGGGGCAACACTGGCCGGTGCTAACCATCCCGTTCAACGTAGCTGTAGCTGGGGCGGTGACCCTGTAACCTGAGGGGCTTTACAGTTAAGGAAGTTGTCGAGGGAGGAAGGCGCTTCCTGCCGGTCAGAAACAGTCAGGTCGGTACTGGGGTAGGTATTGTTGCCCTGTAACCTTAATGAGAGGGGTATGAGACCTGATGATTTCGGGCACGAGGGTCGAAAGCTTGGGCGGTGGTTCTTCGTCTGTGGTGAGGGGAGACGATGGTTGGTTAGTGCTTCTAGTTCGTATCCCCTTTCTTTTGCTTCCTGAGCTAAATTCTTAGAATTTCTCAGAATTATCAAAAAGTTGCAATCTGTTCCGAAAAAAAGGGGGTAGTCTGTTTTGTCATAAAAATGTCTTCTGGATCCTGGGGATTCCTGGCAACTTTGTTTAGGTGGTTTCGAGGCTGTAATACTCAGTGACCTGAGGCTGTTCGATGCCAGAGTGACCTGAGGAACAAGGCGGCCTCAGTTTGTCTTCACGCTCCTGCAATCAGCAGGTTACAGGGCAACACCCCAGCACAGAGAGAGAGAGAGAGAGAGAGAGAGAGAGAGAGAGAGAGAGAGA